GCCCTGAAGTTGATAGACTTCTGCATTCTTAGGACATTTTTGGCATTGTTTTAAGGAAGTCATAGATTAGAAGGTTGTTTTTTTCTTCCAGTATTTTGTCTGCCAAAGAAAACTAACCAGTTAGTGGTATTTGTTTCAATGTCTGTTATGCTATGAAGCAGTATTTTAAGAGCTTGATCACTCATATTTGGATGCTTAAACTGATTTATTTAACAAAATATGCAAAAATGGGGGAAAGAAATGCATTTCCTGGACATGACAAGGTTAGTGCTTGACTGTATTTGAAGGAGAGCAGCTTGAAGGCTGTAAAGTGGACATTTAAAGAAATTAAATTTAATTATCTGTTGAGTATCCGCTTCACATTCAGGAAGGGTGTATGGTACGTTTTCTGTATGACTTTGAAGGCAAACCTACTTGAGGTCTGGCTCAAAATTATTAGAAATAGGAAGACAAATGCTCTTGAGTAGGGAAATGTCAGTATAAGACCCATGAACTTGCTGTAGACTCACAGGATTTGTATTTTGTTCTATGGTAATTCAAAGTGCAAAAAAGATTTTCAGAACTACAGTGACATTAGCAGGTACTTGTAATTTTAAATGAGGATAGGTTTTCTTTGTTTTATTTATTTTTAAGTTCATGTCTGAACCTCGCCTGAGAGCTGGGCCAGATACCTGTGCATTCCTGACATAAAGAGCAAGTCAATGCTTCTCAAATTAGAACAAATAAAATTCAAATACCTGAAACTCCATAGATACTCTCTTTTCCTAATATGGAAATATTTTTTTTGTTACTGATTTTTAATCACAAAAACCAACATGGAAATCCCTTGCAAAGATTGCTTGCTGTTGTAACTGAATAGATGTGGTCTAGCTAAATGATTGTGTTCTTCGCCTACACCCTACAATTACCAGGGAAAAAAGTCCCTTTAGCTACAATACTGCCTTATTGTATTATTGTCCCTACTGTGCCCTAATATTTAAGTTTCTGAATAAAAAAATATAGTCTATAGTCCTGTCTTAAATTCCTAAATTCCCCATTCAGTTAATTGCAAGGCTGCTAGGTGGAATTCAGAAAGCCTTTGTGCTTTTCAGAGTGGAGGTTTGTGCTAACCAGAAAGAAGTACTGCAGAATGAGCCATACATCTTAAAAGTACACAAATGAACACAAGACTTAGAATCTTTTTGTAACTATTTTTTATTTGTGCAGTTTAAAATGGGTCATAAAAGACACCTGTTGTTTCTAAAAGCATCTGGAGGTGGATTCAGTTTCACCATATCAATAGATGAGCTTGCTTCTGAGTGACAGGAGTCTCTCACTTGCCCTGAAGTTGATAGACTTCTGCATTCTTAGGACATTTTTGGCATTGTTTTAAGGAAGTCATAGATTAGAAGGTTGTTTTTTTCTTCCAGTATTTTGTGCCCCTCTTTGGTCTGTATATAAGACAAAACTCACAGTGCAATTATTTTGATTTTACATGCCAGATGGTATGCCTAGACCATGAATGAAGATACAATGAGCCAGTTTTGGGAGCAGAATCACGTGTGGTGGGGTCTGTGTAAGCCAGCATGGGTTTGGCAGCTGTCTTGGCTTATACCAGCTCAGGGATGTTGCCAGCAGTACTGCAGATGCAAAGTTTCCTGTGTTTGGGACTGAGCTCTCTTTTGCCATATGAAAACAGTGCAGGGCCACAGGCCAGTGTTTTCCCTTGCTTGGTCCCAATTTTACACAGTCTGAAAGTGACCTTAGGAATTAATGTAGTTCATGCATCACTGGGGTGGGAAATGCAGCCCTGTGTTGGATCACGTCATCTGGTTGAGAGAGCCCATGTGTGTTTGTGAGATAGAGAAAGGTCCTGTTGAAAGTGAGCCAAACAGACAATCAGTTTCTGTATCTTGTCTCAGGATTTTAAGGTATTTACTCAGTGCTGCACCTTAGCAAGCATGCTTAAGTTCAGCTTTTGGGGCTTTTGGACTGCAGCTCTTTATCATATGAAGGTTTTCTGAGCACTTGAAACTTCTTGGCTTTGCTAAGTACCAGAGCTCTCCATTCTGCTTTCAGTCACAGACTGAGTTGTTCTTTTCTGGAGTAAAAGCTGGGGCTTTCTTTTGAAACCAAATGACTTATTATCCTGTTTCTGCACACACAGAATTTCTCTCCTTTGCATGATTGGAAGTCAGCCATGACTCATATTCTTTGTATTAAGTTTCATATTTTCAATCAGTGTCAGGTATCGTTTGAGTGGACCTGCTGCAGAAAAAAATCTTATTGTGCCCAACTTGTGATTTCTTATTGAAGTGACAGGAAGAGAGAGGGAAATCTCAGTCTGCCATGCGGGACTGTTATGGGGTATCGTAAAAGAAAACTGAATTTGTTTCAAATATGCACTTGTTAAATGTTAAGTGCTGTGAAGCTTTCAATTACATGAGAAGTTAATTGCAGAGTTAAAAAAAAATGTTGCATTTGGGTTTAGTAGAAATTAGGTCTTTCTGAATTGTTTGGAAGAGCTAGGCCTCGTCAGAGCAGGAGTTGTGGTTCAGTATTGTCACAAAGATACCAATACAGATATTCATAATTTTTGATTGTGCAATAAACCAGATGGCAAGAAAACAATGTGTTTCAGAGTTCTTTTAAGAACATTATTCTGAGTATTCAATTTTATTTAGAATTGCAGTTTGGTTTTTTGTTCCTCACAGTGCATGTTTCACTTGTGAGGGTTGGTTACGCAAGTCACATTGTATTCTTCCAGCCTGTTTTATGCTGAAAATGTAACATGACAGGATTGTTAAAAACTGTAATAAAATAATGGATCAGCCTAAGGAATCCTCTTTTGCTAAATGGCTTTCTGGAATGGTAACTGTTCCAGAAAAAAAAAAATTCAAATATATAGTTAATTAGAGAAAAACTGTGGGTAGCATGCTGCTCTTTCTCTTTTTCCATGACCTTTTAATTTTACAATTTTGTGTGTGAGTGTGTGTGTGTGACCAATTAAGTCACACTTAAAGACCCAATTAAAATATGATGGCAGAGCAAAGTAACATAGTCCAAATGCCCAGCAGCTGGGATATAGATGTAATAATCCATGTCCTTGAATCACAGGAAATAGAGAGGGGACAAATTGCAGATCATTTAGTCTCTCTACTTCTGCTATGCACAGCTTTTACTCTAAGTACATCTGTTAAATTTACACCTCATTTAATACACTGACATATTACTAAAATTATAGTGGTGTTTAGTTTTCTCAGTTTGTCTTTTCTATTACAGAAGTAAAATTGATTCTGCCTAGGACAGAAAGGTGGCCTAGATGACTTCTTGAGATTCTTTACAGATAATTCTTATGTGATTACATAAATTTTACTCATCTTTCTGTACCACATTTTGCCTTTGAATGATAGTGTTTTGCTCCATGTAGTTTTTATATAGGTATCTCTTTCCATGTATTAGTAAGAAAAAGTATTTTTCAGATTTTTAGAAGGTAGTTCAGATATTTCTTTTCTTACATGTATCTTTTCAATCTTTTCCTTCACCCTGCCCTAGTTGGTCATGCATATCAAAACTCTTTGGGCATGAGAAATTGGTTCACATCTCTGTATTCATTCTGTAAAAAAATGAACTGAGAAACTGTAGTTTGGAGCTCATAAAGTGCTCAACACCCTGACTGCATTCACCTTTGTTTTATTGTTTAGTAGTGTAAAAGGGGGAGGGAAGAGAACTTGTTCTTTCTCTTCTGAGAGGGAAAAACTTTATTCATCTTCTTCTGCCATTTTATGATTATCTGAGGTCAGAAATCTAAGGATGGACAGGACTCGTGTATTAGGGCAGGATTTGCCAAGAGAGATAAGTAAAATCGCTCATATGTGATAAGGGACCTATTTTTTTTCTGTGTCAAAATTCACTAAACCTCAGAAAATCTGTAGCTGCAGTAAAAAGTGTCAGAATTCACCACTGGGAGTGATCTTCTAGGTACACTGTTTTAAGATATTGGATAATTCCACATGTTTTCAAACAGCATCAATTATTCTTTTTTTATTATTCTTAAAAATTGACAATAAGCAGTATAGCGTGAAGATGCTGTTCTCAGTGGTTAGTATTGATGGGCAGCATGCTTTTTCTCTGTGACTTGGTAAGTATTCTGCCACTATTCTTTTCTTCATTCTTGTATGGACCACTCTTGTCCCAGTTCTCTTAAGCTACATCCAAAGCACATGAGTGTTTGATAAGTTACTGAAGTGTGGGTAACTTTCTGGTATCAAAATGCCTAAAGCCACATGGGAGAGTTCTGTTTCAGAGATGCCACAGATCCTTAATACTATATATTGATTAAAAAATCAAAAGTATATGTTTAATTGGTTTAAAGTCTAAGCAAAACTAAAACTGAAATATAAGCTTTTAAATATCTGTTCTGCAGCACAGTGCTGCTGGATATTAAGTACTTTCAGATGTATGTGCTGTGGTCCCTCTGATTTCATTGGTGTGATTATGTGGTAGTTTACCAGGTGAATTCAACACAGAGGAACAGGCTCAATTTTATGAAACTTTTCTGGTAGCTTAGTTCTGATGAGTTTAGATCTGTTTAGATCAAGTTGAGATCTGTGAAAGCAATAGGTGATGTGGATTGTCGAGACTTCTTAGGTGTGTCTGCTGCTGTTTGCTCTCTGAATAGGCCCAGAACTGTCCTTATAGAAACTGCTGACTATGTATAGAGAAGAAAGTCTGAAGAATCAACATCTCAGATCTGTGCATGTATTTGCAGTAGATGTCTATGAAGGGCTTAAGATTTCTTCATTTTTTTTTAATAAATTGTCCCTCCAGGTATTCTTATACAATCTTCCATTGCTACATTGATCTTCAAAGTCTCATGCAGACTAAGTAGTATAACTTATGGATTATGAGAAATAGAAAAGAAAGAAGGAAAAGAAATAAATTTCAAGCTTTTTCAACTAAAGCTTTGTGATATAAATTAATATTGATAACATTTAGGTCTCTCGTGTTTTGTTCCACAGGCAGCAGGAGCAATCCGTCCTTTAGTTTCTACTGTTATTGCCTCTGCTGCTGATGGCTGCTTGGACCACTCACTGGAACGTGCCAGGTACAGAGCGAGTGAAATGCCTCAGGCTTTCTTGTTTGATATAATCTATGAAGCATACCAACAGGTGAGACATTAAGACCTTCTTTCCATTTGCTTCAGTTAAAAAGAAAAAAAGGTAACTTTATTTCTCTTCTTTCAAGAAGAGAGCTTCAACACCTATTTCAGATCACATCAAACTGTATGCATACTACTTCTGAGTCTTTAAAAAAATCTTATCATTCTAATTTATTCAGATTTTTGATTAGTTAACTTTCAAATACAAGAGGAGGTGATGGGTAGAAATGGCTGGAAAGAAAATTTTGCTTTCATTTTTATTGTGCATTAAATAAATTACTTAAATGAGTGGGTTTATATGTTTGAAATTAGGTATCTATATAAACTGTGTGTGTTGTTGACTGAGAATATCAAAGGGTTTTGGATGCACAGTGTAATAATGACATTTTGTAGTAATTTCGTGGGATACAGGCTGTTCTAAAATACTGAGATAATATAACTTGCTGCATCTAGGTAAATGTTTCTTTTGTTTCTTGTTGCATGTGTATTATACATACTTTGATTAGTGACTGAAAATAATATTTACTTGTGTCTATTGTAATTTTTCATTTTTTCCTAATATAGTGCTTTGAAATAAACTTTATTCAAGAAAATTAAAACTGTGGGTAGTGTATTAAACCCTGACTCTTTTGCTTTAATTTGCCCTGAAGACTGCTTTCATTTGCCCCACCCTGCATTCACAGTTTGCTGGAAACATTCCAGCCTTTCCTCTTAACACTACTTCCTTTTCATTCATCACCTTGTGGAAATTGCCTGTCCTCCAGGTATCTTCCCGACTGACTGGAAGCAGAGCATTTCTTCATTTGTCACTTGGAAGGAATTATTTTTCATGTTAATGCTGACAGTCATGCTTCCCCATCAGTGTTTCAATTCTAAACAAGCCCAAGTTTCTGATACTCACTTTCAGAGAGTACAAAGCTTAGAAGTCACTAACAACAGAAAAATGTGAGGACAGGCAATAAAGAAGCTGTTATTTAATCGTTTAGTAATTGTTTTCCTTAGAAATGTTGGCACAAATTCCATGTCATATCCTTTATGCTTGATACTTGAAGATATTAGATGCTGCTGATGAAGAACTATCCAAAATTAAGAGCTACTCGAGTGATTTGACTGGCTTCAACCTTTTTGTTTCTGATAGGAAGCAGGGGATTGTTCTTAGTATATGACACACAGCTGATACTTCTGAGATTCTACCTTGAATGTAGTGGGTATACTCATAAGAAATGCAGCCTCTATGTGCATAAGAACACATCTCAAGAGATGACTGCTACTGTTGGTTATACAATCGTTTTCGATGTGTATCTTGAATCTTTTGGCAAATTGCATGTTTATGTGCTGTTTCTTGCAACCACCTCATCCCCCATCCCCTGAAGAACCCTGTACTTTTCCTACTGTGTTTGCTTATAATTTGCAAATACGGTAGAGCTGTCAAATACATAAAAAGCTTTTGCTTTAAATGCCTCCCTCAAAAGACAACTATATTTACAATTCCTACTCTACTTGAATAGAGTTTTTTCTCACATATGTATTCCATCAGTCTTCCTTTTTGTATTCCTGCTCTTTCAAGAACAAGCCACCAAAGTTGTTAGAAGCAACCAAGGCTATGGTTTCTTGTCCCCAGTTTCCTTTGCTTTGGCTAAATTCTGGTCATTTTAATACTCTGTGCCTGGACCCTTGGGAAGTATAACACTTTGCTAAAATCTCTCAGCTCATATTGTTTCCTAATTATTTATGTTTCAATGGTGTCTAGCTGTCCAAGTCAAGGATTAAGACCCTATTGTTCTGGGAACTGTACAAACAAATAAAAAAAGACAGATAATCGTTGCCCTGAAAAACCTAGTCAAGCTACTGTAGGACAGATTTTTGTAGGAATGAATGCAGCTTATGGTACATCCTAAATATTAACATATTCGTAATCAATTCCCACAGGCTGGTGAAGGTAAGTATCATTGTACAAATGAACAAGGAAGAGAAAATAATTTTGTTACTCATGTTGCAAGCCATTCATGAAGCTAGAAATGGAATTCATTTTGGCTGACTCTGCCTGGGATCATGATCCCATGCCTGGGTATTTTATACAGATGTGACCTTTATGCAACAGTAGTGTGGGGAAAAACAACAGTCAAACATGCATTCCTTGGAAAGAAACTCTCCATTTGAATTAGTGCTTCGAGTAACACAGGCTTTTCAGCTACACTGTGGGTAATGTGGAATAGTGCTTTTAAACTCCATCTCTATTTAAATGCACTGTCTGATGTGAGTAGATAGGTTTAGAGTATTTACTTCCAGATGTGTTTGTGAATGTAAGATCTCTAAATATATTGACCACAAAGTTGCAAAATTCAGTTAAAGGTCAGTTATCTGACCCATACAGGCTTGCTATCTGCAGTCTTTTTTCTCTTCTTGTCTGGTTGCAGTCTGGGCAGAGCTGACTAGAGGTCCTTCTCCTTTTATTGCTATTTTAAATTTATCTAGAATTAGAATGGTGTAAGGTATTAACACTATTAAAAGATGAAAAAATATATTAGTATGATCTTTACCAAGTTAAGTAATTTTCCATTTCTTGCTCAAATGAAAAAAGGATAGTAATGATTTGGGGAGAAATACATGCCCTGTTGAATCTCCTCTAATTAATTTTATGTACAAATACCAAAGATTGATTTACAATAGTATCGTAAAATGTATGTGTACTACAGGGAATCCCCTTTACAAAAATCAAAAATCAAAAAATCCAGGACAGATTTTGAGGAATTCAGCCAGACTGTTCACCTGCATTTAATTGTGATGCATTTAATTTAGTTTTCAGTCTTACATCTTCCCTGTTGCCTAAAACATGTATTCCAAACAGATCTTTGCTCAGATATATGTTACTTTCTGATTTAACTGTTATGGTGTCAAGACTTTTGACTTCATAACTATTAACTTTCAAATTTGTACAATTTATATGATTTATAAAATCTTTAAGAGTTACAACTTTTGTTTGTATGGTGTGTATCTGGCTCAGGGTGGACAAGTGACCAGTGCAAACAACTGCAAGGTGAGATAGAACTGTACTTGTAGTGTGTGTGTGGATCTTGCAGGTGGGAGGCTTTATGTTAGCCAGGGGTTTTCCTTGGGATTTTAGGTAAAAGGATGTATAAATTTGGTAAGGGGATAAATGTGATGTTGCATCACTGCTCTTAGATCTGTTATGTCATAATTTTTTGACTTCTCAGTTCCTGCACAATGTAATGAACAACAGTAAATGGACAAATTAAAAAAAATTAAAATCAAAAATACAACTAGTAAAACCTCTGGAAAAGTTGTAAAAAAATGGCAGAATCCATGACTTACTTCAATTCTGAACTACCTGGGACAAAATCAGCCAATATAATTTTTTAAAAATTATTACTTATGTTGTTATGTAATAACAAATTTCTTATCTTTAAAAATGTCTGTTGCTTTTCTGTTTTTATCAATCCCAAGGAAAATCAGGAAAGTTTAAGTGTTAATTGAAAATCCACCCTTTCCAAAGATAGCAAATAATGGACAGATTCCTTAGACCAGACTTGTTCATTTCTGCTTAAGGTAGTTTCATGTTTCTGTTCCACTTCTTAATTTAAATAGGAACAAATGTGAAGTATGATCCTGCAAGCCTGGGAGGAGGTGGGTGGGGGAGACTTCACTTACCAGAAGTCAAGTCTTCCCTGGAGCAGTACCTTTTAAAAGAATTAGAGTATCAGGAAGTCAGGTAGACTACAATTTTCCTTTAATCAGAATAGGCTGAGACTGATTTCTGTAATACTTGTTTTTGATATATTGTAAAATGCACAAAATCTCTAAGATTTTTTTTTTTTTGTCTTTAACACAAAGCATCTTGTTGTGTCACGTCGTGTTCTGTACAAAGTAACACAACCACAGTATATAAAGGCTGAAATACTCAAAATATTGGACACTTGAAATACATCTGCTAAAGCAAGAAAGGTAGCAGGAACATTTAAAAAGCTTTACCTTTTCATGATCTGGAAGAGAAACAACCAGAAATGGAAGCAGAAGAGGAGTGGTAGGTAGAGGATACTGACCAGCTTCTATGTCAAATATGCAAACAGACGGCCCTGGTAAGATGATGCAGTGGTTAAGGAGTTGTCAGCCTGAATGTCGGGAATACCAGAGAGTTGCTCACAAGTGCCACCAGGCCAGGGAAGCTGAGAACCTTGAGAGAGGGAATAGCTATAAACACCTGAAAAAAGAGCAGGACATGTTAGGATGCTATTCTGCAGGAATCCTTCATACTTGGGAAATATGGCAAAGTCTGGTCACTAATTCAAAATTAAGGGATAGCTTTTTAAGAATCTTATTAAAAAAATACACTTTTTTTCTGATGATCATTTATACATTATCTTACAATTTTCCTCAAGATTTGTACCTGTGGAAATTTGCTGCAAGAATTGCACACTTTTTGGGGAGGGTAGGGTGTTTGTATTACTTATATAGTTACTTTAATCTGTTGATAGTAGACCTTTTGCAAAGTATAGAAGTTTATATTTAGCTAATGAGAACAATGAAGCTGAAGTAAAAAAAAAAATAGGAACAGGAAGCAGGAATAGTCATTGAAGGAGAATGAGCTTCAACATGTTTAGAGACATTTCTCTGATTCATGTCTATAACCTCCTTACAGATATCCACACAGATCAGACTGATCTTAGGGATTCTGTCTAATCTGTGTAGAAAATATGTAGAAATTAGTACCTTTTAGGACTACACTATATTAGTGTATCTGTTCATAGCCAACATTAACCACTCCTTGAGTATAACATTTATTTATGGGCCATTACAGCATCTGCCTGCATAGGAGGGAATGGCTATATATAAACTTAGTAATGACAAGATACAAAACAATAGTGTGTCAAAGAGAATCATGCAAATACTTTGATGCTGAGTTCTGGGAGGCAGATGTTCTTCCACTCCCCAAAAAAATCATTGCAAGATGTCCACAGATTGGGTGGAGATGGGGAGAAGAGATAGTCTGTG